CATGGACACCACCAGGACATCCCACCCTGGGCAGCAATGCCACCCCTCCCCACAAACCCCGGAGAGGCCCTGGGGAGAGGCTCACCAGCCAGGAGCAGGGCGGTGACACAGTCCTGCTGCCCATGCACCGCAGCCTTCATCAGCGCTGTCAGGCCCCGTGGGTCTCTCTGGTCCACCTCGAGCTCGGGGTAGTAGTTGAGGAGGTAGTTGACGATGGTGATGTATCCTTAACAGCCAGAGAGAAGCTGCATTAGAGTTCCGACTGTTAACGAGTGACAATGGGTGGTGCCTGTTGGAGAAAGGATTTAGCAGCTGCATCCCATAAGAATGAGGATGCAGAAGCTTGGAGGGATCAGGACTGAAAGGGTTTGGGTTTATTTTGGTTAGGGCTTGGCCATGGAGGGAACAGCACTGGTGCACCAGCTGCCTCAGCAGAGAACACAGTCAAGAGTCCAAAATGCAAGAAAATCATCAATTCCAGTAAGGTAACAACAGGAGTAAAAGTTGATCCCCATTTTGGTACCCTCCTCCTTCCCACTGTGGTTAAGGTTAATCCCCACAGCTTTTCTGACGGCTCATTTTGGGGTTTTGGGGGGAAGCACAGGGGGTCACATCCCTTCTCGAGGGGTGTCACGGGGCTGGGGGTGAGCATGGTGCTGACCTGCCTGGGCAGCCATCATGAGGGCTGTGTTCCCCTCCTTGTCCTGCTGGTTGACGTTGATGTAGGGACAGTTCCGCAGCAGCGGCACAATGTCCACGAAGCCCTTGGAGCAGGCGACCATCAGCCCGTTCTGGAGAGGAGACAGCACTCAGCACTGGCACTGCACCATGGTGCTCCTATAGCCCCCCATTCTCCCCCCACCCCAACCCTGACAGGCTCAGGATGGAAAGACAGATGAGGTTCTGCTCCAAGGATTGGATCGATCCCGGGAGCCCCATCCCTTCTCAAAGCCATCCTGCCCAGCCCTCTCCCTCCCGCCCCACTTGCTTTAATTACCACCAGCTTTCAGGATTTGCCTGTTCCTGGAAAAACCACTCTGAGCTCTGCAGGGTGCTCCCTCCAGCCACTC